CTATAAAAATTTAACTAATTAAAGCTAATGTATCCAACATTAATATAAAGTAAAAATTTTAACTTTGGTTAAAATATCCCAGAATCTCATTTTCCTAGCTCATAACCCATATTATAAAAGAATTTTAAAAAAATCTTTAATATTAAAAAATTATGTAGATAAATGGTAAATAATCTTTTACAAATTAAAAATAGAATTAAGAATTTACCAGATCAAATTGAAGATGAAATAGAAAATTCTGAATATGATATGTCAATAGTAATAATATATTAATAAAAAAAATACAAAAAATTATTAGATATTTTTTATTTTTTAAAAAATTAAATATGTGAAATATAAATGTAAATAATGTCTCTTGTGGCTTCTGCTGTGTGAACAATCTACTATTACTATACTTTATGAATGATATTTCTCATAGCTTCTGCTATATAAATAATGTCTCCTATAATAGTTTTCATTTTAATATTACTTATTACGTAAACTTCTATAAGCTTATTAAAGATGATCTAAAAATATAATAAATGATGTAAATATACGGTATTATATCATAAAAAATAATTATAATAAAGTAATTATATGTTTGAATTCAAAATTCATCAACCATTTAGTTATAAAAGTCTGATCATATGAATTGAGACTTCTTATAATTGCCAACAGTTTTTGCAAATATATTTTAAAGATCATATGGGTGGTGATCTATTAAAATTGAGGTACAGATCATATGATTTACTATGTCTCGTATCTCAACTTTAATAGCATAACCACCCATATAGTCAAACCAATAAGACTTTCTATCATTAGAATGTAAAATGTATTTAGGGTTTGATAAATTATGAAATTGATAGAATTCAGATAATATAACGTTAAGATACTTATTCATAAGTATTATGATGCTTAGTATTTTTAACATTTGATTTTATTGTTAACATTCACAAATTTGACAAAAAAAATACCAAAATGAAAATGATCGAAAAAAATGTTAAATCTGTTTTGTACTATCTAATTGTTATTATTATACATAATTAAGATAATCGATACTTAATTAGATTAGAATTTTTAATTACAATTATATGATAAATTAAAAAGGTAAAATAATATTAATTTGTGTAACCATTTGGGCATTGCAACGCTATTACAAATTTTTTTTAAAAAAAAAATTTATTACAAAATAAAAAAATTAATATACTGTATATATAAAAAAAAAATATAATAAAAAAATTAAAATAAAAAATATTAAAGAAATTAAAATTAAAATTAAAAAAAAATAATAATAATATAAAATAAAAATTAAATAAAAATTAAACAAATAAAAAATAAAAAATTAAATAAAATTAAAATTAAAAAATAAAAATTAAAATTAAAATAAAAAAAATAAAAAAATAAAAACTAAAAATTAATGCTGTCTCAGCGAAAAACTTTCTTTTTTCGTTAAGAATATGACCTTCTGTATTTTCAGAAATAGGATCTATGATCTCTAGAATGATGATGGAAATGGGATCTATGATCCTGTGAATAATAGCGAGAATGAGATCTATGATCCTATAAATGATCATAAGAATGGGATCTATGATCCCAACGATAATAAAATCTATGATGATACTAGTACTAGCGATGATCTACATTCTGTCTTTTAAATTGATAATGATTTACATTTAAAAATAATAAATAAATTAAAAAAATGGAAGTTTTAAAAGTAAAAAATATATTTCTTATTACTATTATTCAATAAATAATTACTAGTTCAAAGCCAAAATTTGTCACCCAACTCTGAATGAAATATCCGATCATATAGAGTTGGGTTTATTATTAGTTAACTGTAAGATTCTTCCCAGCTTCCAACCTCTTGAGATTTTTATACCCATATTTTAGTGAGTATCATTTTCTTCGACATTAAGAAAAAGAAGTGGCAAACCCTTTATTAATAAACTATTGAATGGATATGATTCTCTATATCCTTTCATGGAGATTATTTAGAATAAACTTAAAATCATTATGATAGTCACGTCATAGATGAATCAATTCTTGTATTGCATCATTGGTTTATTCAAAATAAAGAATAATAGCAAGAGCAGCTAAAGCCATAACGAAAATAAAAAAAAATAAAAAAAAATAACGAAAATGAAAAAAATGAAATATAAAAATGAAAAAAAAGACAATTGAAAAATAAAAAAAATAATAATAGAAAAAAAATGAAAAAAATGAAATAAATGGTGATCAGAAAATTGACGTGAAATAAAAAAACCAAAATAAAAAAACAAATTAGAAATAGCGATCAAAAAAATAGGTGAAATAAAAAATCCTAAATATTAAAAAAGAAAAAAAAATGAATTAAAGAAGGTGACGTAAAATAAAAAATAATAAAAGATATAAAAAGAAAAAATGAAGAAAGACAAATTTAAAAAGGCGAATTAAAAAATGAAAGACAAATTAAAAATGACAAATTAAAAATGACAAAAGATTTATTATAAAAAGATGAAGAATAAATTATAAAAGATAAATTAAAACATGAAAGATGAATTTAAAAAAGCGAATAACAAATTAGAAAAAAATGAAGGATGAATTAAAAAAAAAGATCAAGAAGAAAATTATAGATAGGAAAGATTTGTATTTATGAATTTATTTTCTTTATTAATGATATATTGTAAAAACGAAAGATTCATAAATGTAAATTTCATATATTTATATTTTTATTTTTATTAGAGAACTTTTAATAATACAATAAAATTATTATAAAAAACTGATCACTTTGTTCTTTTGTTTCTTTTGCATTATTATTTCCATTATACAAAGACTAGATATTCTCATGTAATTGCATCCCTTCATTATTGTTTAAAAAGATAATAAAGATTTTGTGAAATGTCAACATTTTATTATTTTTGTATTATTATATTTACTTTTTTTTAAGACCTAAAGATATGTTATCACTTTATTTGCTCGTGAAATGTTAACATTTAGTTTTTTTGTATTATTACAAGACTAAAAATATCTTATCTGTTATTTAATTAGTAAATATAAAATGAAAAGACAACTTTTTATTTCTTTTGTATTATTGAATTCCAACTTGGAAAATTTCATTTTTGCTTTTTTGTTTAAATCAAGTAATTGTTAAAAAAAATAAGATGCAGAACACTAAAAAATTTTATCACATGAAATGTATTATATGATTATAATTTATTAATTTGTTTAATGATTGATATATTATAATAATTTTGAAATTTAATTAATTTTTTATAGTAATAGATTTCTCAAAAGACATTTTTTCTTTAAGTCAAAAGAAAAATAATGTGAAATATTATTTTGAAAATCATTAGATAATGAACAAACTATCTTTAGAATACAAGTAAGGATATAAAATAGTAATTTATATTAGCATCAATGCTTAATGGTTAAACTCAATATTTAACCTGTGATTATAATATCAATGCTTAGTCTTCAGTTCTTTGCTATGATATTGTTATATTTAATAATTATATATATTACTTGTATCGAAAGATATATTGATTTTATTAAATAAACATTTATTATTAGTTTCTTTTTTATTTTATTAGTTTATTAGCATTTATTATTATTTTACATTTTATTTTATTTTTAGCATTTATTATTAGCGTTTCTATATATGTATTGCTTATTATTTTATTACTATTATTAATTATAAGAAAATTGGCTAACAAAATTTAAGTTAGCGTAATGAAGATCACTGACCATTAATGTTTGTTAGACATTACTGTTCACTGGCCATTAATGTTCATTGGACATTACTGTTCACTGGCCATTAACGTTCGTTGAACATTATTGTTCACTGGCCATAATTGTCCTGTTAAAAATTTAGTATATAAGTGGCGAAATTTCCTTTAATAAAAAAATAATAGTTTTTCAACAATAGTTTTTAACATGAATAACAAAGAATTAAATACCCAAAATAATAAACAGTTCATCTAATCCTTGAAAAATCTGATAATTCTCTAAACATGAAAACATCGTTATTATTTCCCTTTACATTTTTATTGTAATAATTCCGAAAGATATAATTAATAAATATACCTGATTGTATAGAGTGCTGACGTTACAGGCAATACGATATCTATGTTATATTAGATTAGAAATTCTGATTATTATATTAAATTAGTAAAAATAATAAAACACAAACCTTCTGCTTACCTTAAAACTCCGTTTATAACCCATAAATACCAAAGAACTGCTATTAACAATATCAGATTATGATAGTAATATTAATTCAATGTTGAATCAATATCATCAATTTATTTTTAAAGATTTTGTATCCAAATTTTTAGTTTGAATTAAAAATAATTAAATCAAAATGATGTAAGATCATCATTGATTAGATTAGATATATTCAAAAATTCATTTGAATTGAATTGAGTCAATGTCTTAATTTAATCTACATTCACAAATTATAAACTTAATTTGTTGATCAATTTGATTCATTTGGATTGAATCAACTAATAAATTTCTGATTTAAGGTATATTTCAGAATTGACATGTATTTCATGATAATAAATAAAAAATTTTATCAAATTTTTAACTTTTAATTTTGTTTTATAATAATATAATAGAAGTTTTAATGTATATGAAAATATGCAAAGTCCTATTAAAATAATCCTTAAAAATAACAAAAAAAAGTTTTGTCAATAGAATGAAGATACTATAAAACTGTTGCTTTTATTTTGAATACGAAAAGAAGAAGTGATGCAATTAAGTATAAAATAAGATGAAAATAGTAATACTAAAGCAAAACTTTGATAAGATATATCAGATATGTTTCTAAGTAATAATTATCAATATTCTGCTAAGCAATATGCAATTAAATAAAAAAATACAAAAAAAACTATCCCTTAAATTATATGGTTTTGCAGGCAAATTTGCCTGCTTATTTACTATAAATTCTCTTATGATTTACTTTTATAAAGAATTAATATTTTAAAAAAAATTTTTTTTAAATTAATTATATAAATATGTAATATATTATAATAAGTTTTATCTTTTAATTATATAATAAAATATAATGTTACTTAAAAGCTAAAAATTTGTAATTTTTAAAAAAAATTTATTTTAAAAAATTTTATGATTAATTCTGCAGTACAGTCTTCATGAGTATCATGAGTAACACTATTATCTATAAGCTGGATCATTTTTCAGAATCTCTCTATTTCTACTTCTGATGCTGCGTTAAAGGTTTCAAAAAGCTCGCCTTTGAGAGACTGACGGTTAAATACATTACTATCAAACGAATTAGATCTTAAAGGCTTGCAGCTAATTCTTTTTTCAAATTAGAATTTTCTTCAGCAACTTTGCGAATTTCCTTAATTGTATTACATTTTTCTAACTATTTTTCTGACTCTTCATTTATTCTAGATCATATTAAACCAACGCTCTATAATAATAAATTCAAGATCGACATAATACGTTCAACAGGATTTTTATATGAATGTTATGGTAGAGTTCAAACAGCAACAAAATAATCAAGGTCTAATATAAAAAAGAAAAAGACAAATATATGAGAGTTGAACATGAGCATATGTGCTATAATGATCTAATTCACCATCTATATAAACATATAGCACAGGTTACCTTATAAGCTTTTTATTAAGAAGTATATCATACAGTTCCATTGCATGATGAAGAGGTGAAGAAGACTGAAAAATTGGATCTTTTAACCTAATATGTACTTTTCCTATATAGAAATCACCATTAATTGATTCGGGTATATCATATTCCATTATTACACTTGGTATAATGTCTAATTTAGTGTAATTATGATAAGCAACTGCAAATATAGTGTTATTACTAACTATAACTCTTTTTTCTCTTTTTACTGCAGCAATTGGAAATCAGGTTCTCCATCTTTGTAATGATTCTTATCGTCTAAAAAACCAGATTAGGTAATATTATGAAATTTCATAGCAAATTCTTTCTTGTAGCGAAATAATGCTGATGCAGAGTGAACATCTTGATGGTAAGCTCATAATTGTCATGTTTGAACTATGAATTTTAAAGGTAACTAACTTGTAAATTGCAAACTACTAAGTCATGTTAGGTTTTTGGATCATAACTGCAATTGTAACTACTACACATTAGGAATTGATGTCTCAGGTAAATATTCATATTCAATTTGATGTAGAAGATCATTTACCGAGATCGTAGTTGCAAGATGCATATCTGTATCATACTTGTGTTCATTCATAGCAGTTACAGCATCTGCTACTTTTCCTGCAAGAAACTGAGCTGCAATTCTCCAAAGACATCATATTTATTGAGTCTTTCACTATTATGCTACTATAAATTAGCAGTAATTTCTAAATCCACAAGTTCTAAAGCAAATCTAATACGCCAATCTACTTTTTCCTGATTTGAAGTCTCAGCTGCAGAGGTGTTACCTGTTAACATTCAATAAATTATTCAAAGCATTGATGGCTTAGCTTTTGAAAGAAGTAGAAGACAGGTACATATATAATATTCCGCATTGTTCTTATATAAAAATGAGGTGTTTAAACTTGCAATTCACTTACAATTCGCTTATTCTCTTGTATTATTGTTATTTCATCAGCTTAGATCATCAATTTTCCATATTGAGATTATGTTAAAAGAATTTTTACTAGAATTAAATCGGTATTCTCCAATTTTAAAGAAAAATGCATGAAATGAATTCTGGATATAATGCATTCTTTGGCTGTAATACAAATTATTTTATTAGTTATTTATATTAATATCTTTAAATATTCTTTTTATCTATTTATACAGGATTGATTGGTAGGTATTCTTTAATATCAACTGGTTTCTATGGTAGTAAATCAGTGAACAATTGTTTAAGATAATAATATTTGGATTTATCAACAGCTGTTACCAAAATATTTTGCTTATGGATTTTGATTGTTGTGGCTTGGTCAATAATTCATATAGAAGTATTTAATGCATAGTTTATAGCAGTAATATCGTGTTAGTACTGCAGAAACCTGATATAATTTGAGATAGCAATAATAAAACTATCAAATGCATTACGGAACTAATTGAAATTTGCCATTAATATAATGTAGCGTATAGTGCAAGAGCTTAGCAATGCAAATTAAGTTTATTTACATCAAAAGTTTTTTGTGATTGCTTATATGATTTTGGATCTACGTGACCAAAAAACTCAAAGAAAAGCTTAGGTATATGATAACTATATTCTTCAAATTTTTGGTGATTACGCATATCAACATACCAAATTGTCTCAGTCAAGCTAATAATAAATTATTTTCATTGTATATTAGCATATGATTGAGTAGACTATCCTCCACTATTACAGTGAATACAATCAACAAGATCATTACATAATGTTAGTTTACGATTTGCCTTATCTGATCGTAAAAAAGCTGGTAAATATAAATGAGTTCAGCATGCATTTAGCATTAGTGTTATAAGGTTGTTTTGCTATGATTCCATATCAGAAGTTGTATCATTATCGATTTTAAGCCGATAATGTATATGTATTCCTACATTTTTTGTAAGTTTTATAATATTACAATTAAGATTGACTTGAATTGTAGTTGAAATTGGTGTTTTACTCATCTTAATATGATTTATTACTTCAGAATTTATCACAGCAATATTGCATTCAGGAGATAGTTCTTTAGATATAAGCTTTACAAAAAAATCTTTTATTGTCACTTCATAAGAAATAGAATAGATATACCACTCATGAAGAACTTGTGATCCTTTAGAAATGCGAATGATTGCAAATAGCATATTTGTTGAAGGTCGATAAAAAGGTAGGTTTGAAGTTGAGAAGAAGTTTATTCTAATTCAATTTTTTTACTCCTTTTTTTATAGCTCACGTACGCAATTTCATCAAATTTGCGTAATAAAAATCTGTTTTGAGATTTACGTTAAGAGACACAATCAAAAGAGGAAATCATTATCATATAAAATTCTTTTAATTCACTAATAATTTATAATGCAAGGTCTATATTATTATATAATCCAAATTAATAACTAATTTGATTCATAAAATTGTTAATTAACAATTATGCAAATGATATCTTATCGATTAATCAATTCAACAATTTAACTAACCATTTTATTTTTTCATATTTGTTATTGTTTATGGTAAAACTTATTGAGTAGAAAACAGAAATTATTTTATCTTTATTAAAAATCATTAATGTAAAATTTAATAAATAAATCTCATTTTTTAAAGTCAATTATATTATAAATGCGTAGTTTAAAAATTTTTTTAATATATGAAATTTTTGTTTGAGTATTTGGGTTGTGACACTATAAAAATGTTGGGTAAAATTTTTTTGATTAAATATATTTTTTATTCTAAAAATAAAAATCTGGGCAGTTGGGTTAACATGAAATTAATTTTGATATGAAAACCAATATTATTAGTTTGTTTCACCTTAATTATCAAAGTTTTGAACATTTTTTAATAATAAAATTATTATTTTTATATTATTATTAAAAAAACTTTACAAAATATATAAATTTATATTTAAAATATTTATTTATATATTTAAATATTATTTATTTATAAAAAATAACATCAATTTAAAGTTAGATCCTATCTTTTTATAACTGAGATTTATTATAGGTTTTACTAAAATAGATCCTAGTTTAGCTTCTAGTCATAGCAGATTATAATAAATTAATTTATGGGATTCACTAGTTTAATTCTGAGAATGAATTTCATAGGATACATATAAACTATATATGTTTAAGAGTATAAACTTATAGAATAAAATGACTATTTGATAATTATTTATATAAAAAATGGTAGTTCCTATAATATAAGCTATGTAAGATCACTTCATATATCATCTTAATAATATATAATGGTGATAAGTATAGTGAACTAATTGAGTTTGGAATCTATATTAATAGGCTGATTTGTAATAGACAAGTATCATATTATTTGTATGAGACTTATTTCTGATAACAGAAATATGACAGATTAATAATAAATACTATATAAATTGAATAATATTCTAAGTTATAGATAATTAATATTACACTATTTTCATTAGCATGTCTAGAATAGAGATTGCATTTGATTTTTAAGTTATTTATCAGTATAGTGAACTTGTCTAGTTTAATAAACCTTTAAATTAGAATTTTCTTGATTCCTCTTTCTAGTAGAAATATGAATATTATAATATAAAGTTGCTAACATCGAGTGGCTAGTTAGTTTGGATTTGAGATTCACCAGTATGACATTTATTAGTACTATCAATGATAATGATAAATGAATACAAAGCATTATAGTTAAAGCTGATTTAGCAATTAATTTTAAATTTACAAATTGTTGCAATATAAAGTTAATATTAGTTTGCAACATTATAAGTTATAATATATATAGATTAAAATTAATTGCAACATACGTTATAACATAAAAAGTTGCTATATGAAAGGCAGTCAATAGAAAAGTCGGAAATCCAAATTTTGATTAAAATTTATAATATTAGATCACTTGGCTAATCTTGGCCATATGCACAAAATTAGCTTAATAATTAAAATTAACAAAAATTTTGGATTTCCTCTCTTTTCTACTAACTGTTTCCTATATATTAATTACAGTTTTATCTTTAGTTATAAGACTATAAAATAAGTTTCAAAAAAATAGTAGTAAGTTCAGGATTTTTAAGCTAGTGTTTTTAGTAATCTCATGGCTTTATTATATGCTATTACAGAATAAAAAAAAAATTTAAAGTTAAAAATGAATTAAAATTATTACTTTATTTTACAATTTGTTTTTGAAATTGTAAGACATTATTAAAAGAATAAAATAATAATATGAAGTTCTTTAAATTTTATTGTTTAGGTTTTATAAATTTTTACTTTTGTATTTTTATGATAATAAAAAGCTTTTATTTAAGTAGCATCTTAAATATTATTTGTAATAAAATCTTTATGATTAAACTTTTGCTATTGAAAATTTGAAAAAGATTTATTAATTCATATGACATTTTTTATTTATAATGAAAATGAAAAAGAAATAAAAAGAATAAAATAAAAAGAAAAATTAAAGTGAACAAAAGGATAATAAAAAGATAATAGTAAATCCACAAGTTTATTATAATTAATATAATTATATAATAGAATTGTTTTTATTTTATAAAGTCATTTGAAATGATTATTACATATTTTATTATTATTTTATATTTTTAAGTAAATTTAAATTTATATAATTTATATATTAAAATTAAAATTGTAATTAACCTAAGATATTTAGAATGAAATTAAAATTAAACAGAATTTAAATTAGTAGATAATATTATTTTATGAAATCATCTTTTAAAATTTTTAAATTATTAAAATTAATTGAGATAAAAATCTGAAAAGTAATGTTTTATAGTTTAAAAAATTAATATTTTTTAAAAATAATTTGCTAATTGTAAAAACATTTAATTCCTTCAATTGAATCTGTTTTGATAATTAATTCTTTAAAAAAGGATTATATTAAATCATATAATAAATTAAATAAAAGTTATAAATTAAAGAAAAATTTAAATTATTTGATTTTATTCTGGTATTTTAACTTTTATTATTATTATTTAAAGCTTATTAATATCATTATATAAAATATATAAATTGTAAATCTATAAATATAAAATTATAAAAAATAGGCAAAAGAAAATTTTAATAAATAATAAATTTTTAAAAAAATATATAAATATATATTGTATTAATAATTTTTGTTAACAGTTAATTAATATATAGCACAATTGTAATCAGTTAAAGTCTTCACGAATACATCAAAGTAGCTTTCAAGATTAATGACACTCGAAACCTGTGGTATAGTTTTATATATTAGTTACCGTCATCAAATTATCTATTAAGATCTTGATAAATGCATTTCGAATTCTTTTTAATCGATGATTTATCTTTAATACCACTATTTTCTTCATTCTCCGACTTACTACACTTACCACTCATTGATCCAACTGCACTGAAATCTCGTTTCTTCTCTAGTAAATGGATCTCATCATTCGAATAAATTTCATTTCTCTCACGAACTTTACTTTCGTCAGATGATTCCTCGGAAGAATCTATTGCCTTATGATTCGTTTAGTTTTCACTTTCTTCGGAAATAGATCTTAAACTCATCTGAACAAATCAATTCTTTCGTTTTTACCAGCATTATCGTGATGATTAATAGAATCTTCTCTCTACTTGAATCGCTATTGTCTCCACTCGACGAAGAACTCGAACTATCTTTCATTTCATTATCATCGTTTTACCTTCTTGTTGAAAACCCTTTATCTGAATTTGAAAATGAAGATTCATCATCAGTTGAATCTTCACTTGAAATCTTCTTCTTCTTAATATGTTGATTTTGATGATAATTCATCGCTGCTACTTTCATCATTACTATATTTAAAAGATAAACTTTAAAAAAAGTTTTAAATTAGAAGTTATATCAGATGTATAAGTTTTTGAAGTTGAATGTGAATACACTTACATGGTACTTTTCTTAACCCAAATAATGTTTCATAAAGTTCTCAAAACCAAATAGGGTATTTTCCCATCTTTGAACGTTAATTACAATCTCCAACATTAAATCATAGATAAATGGTATAACATTTGAGATACCCCTCCCTTGATAAGGAATATAAATATATTTTCTTTCTGATATATGACAAGATAAGAGGGTCCATCATTGATATGTGGGTGACAATTCTACTGAATGACCAAAAGGTTAAGATTGATTATTGCAATTCTGTTCTCAGGAATTATTGGTTGAAATTCAGTGTGAATTTCTATTGGTGTTTTCGTAGCTGAAAGTAGTGAAATTGATACAGGGGAGATGATTGATTTTATTCTGCTGCTACTGTTGATGCCCAATAGGATTTATTGATTCCAAATGTTCATTGGTTAACTCTTCGAAAGCAGAAATTTTCTATATCAAGTGTGGGTTCATACTCGTATTTGAATACTCCTTCACGGTTTGATTGATCCGATTTTAGTGGTTATAATTTTATCGTAGTCTCTCTAATCGGTAAAGTTTTCCCAATATAATATTGATCAAATAAATAGCAATTGATCCGTTTTCTTCTAAACTGTGGTAATATATCAATATGCGCTTTCCATAATGATGATGTTCCCCTCCTCCTCATGAAACAACTCTATAATATAATAACAAAAGTATAAATATAACGCGTTCTTCCCTCGGATGTTAATGCGTCCTCTAATTTTATCTGAAGAAAACGAATATCTTAAAACATTAACATGTAAATTTATTTTCTCATTTTTGAAGATGACAAAGACGACGACGTAGAAATAGATTTGTCCTTATGGAGTTGGTTGTTTTCGTGAGAAGATTATTTTTAACATGACTAGTTCCATTTTTTTCCCCCTAATTGGTTAAAATTTATCGAGGAGTGTCCTAATGGGTACTTCCACATCATCCACACCGTGTTCCGACACTTTCATTAAAAGCTCCAAGTGTATTATTTCTTTAAGAACTTGATTAGTTGAATTAACAATTTAAGCGGGGAGGAATATATGTTTTGATACACTTTTTTCATAAAAGCATAAGCATTGGCATACTTGCACAACCAGTATCATTGTGAAGACACAACTCCACGAAGTTTTTTGATCAATTCGTAAACTTGTCGTGGATTGACGCAATCAACTATGTCAACAATACCGACGCGATTAACTCCCAATTTATCCACCGTGTGATAAATAATAAGTCAACTAAATCATTACGAAGCGAATCTTCGGATGAAGATCGAATTTTCAATTCTTAGGTATTTCCTAGCAAAGATTTGATGATGTGCCAATTATAGGATCTAACACTGCTATTCATTATAAAAAAGTTATAATTCGTTAAAATTGATCATTAATTACAAAACATAAATTTATCGATATTTAACAAAATCGTACCGATTTCTGGTGAGATTCAAGCGTCATTCATATGACATCTTATATGAGTTAAAAACCTTGGCTTTCAATCCTAGTTTGCAAATTGTCACAAGATCTGTCTGCTAACAAGATTGAAATTGCTAAAACTTAAAAGTCGAATATATCGAATTTACATCGTCGGTTGCATCAGAATATCAAGAATAGAAAAGAGCATTGGCAAATTGTTCCTACTCTAAGGATATATTCGAAATAATTTCTTAATAATTCACTTTTTTTTTCAAAAAAAAAAAATAAAAATAAAAATTTGACAATACATAAACATGTAGTCTAAAAAGGTAAATTTAGAACATGACAAAAATAGATTATTTCCTAATACTTGTAATGAACAATAATTGTACGTTTTTGTACTTCTATACCATTCAATCAAATAATGACAAGATTCATAGTCGCCCAATTAGGGTAAACTCACCAGGCCCGCCATGTGTAACATCAACCACCACCAGAAAAAAATTTTTTTTTTGTCAAAAGGAGACAAGATGTTAGGGAACACATACATAGTAAATAACTTGAGACATCAAATAAAATTATTTTTAAAAGAAATCTCGCCCATGACTCTCCAAAGTTGCACTCCAAATAATAACACGGACAAGCCCAACCTCGTCATTTTTGTGAGACATAAGGAAAAGTATCGCAAAACAGTACATCTGATATTTGCGAATTCATAATAAAATCTGTAAGAGGATAGGGGTTTACGCCGAACTTTGCCGAATATATTCCTATTAGTGTTTGTTTTAAGTTTTAACTTAACCACTTCCAAAGGATCACAGTTTAGCACAAAACCTTATCATGCATGTCGTGTTCAATGATATGTAAAATAGGGTTCATTCATTTTCCGAAATACTAACTATAAATGATTAGATCATCAAAAAAAAGATGAATGATGATTTTTGTGTCATATGAACGATAACCGGAAAAATGGCAAAGCATACTAAGAATATCTTTTTTTTTCAAGGGAGAAAAGAATAAAAGTAATTTGTTTGAAATTTTACTTAATTTGTAAACAAAGTATAATCTTAAAAAAAAATTGAGAGAATTTTGATTGGTCACATTGGTCTTTCCTCATGAGAAAATTTTATGTTATTTTATTTTATTTTTTAGAAATTGTTCCTTAAAGGTTTCCCAACGATATAAAGATTATTTTGGACCGATTGAAAAGTTACATTGAAATTGAACCAATTTTGTGTTGAGAGGAGGGATATTGTGAAAGTGTGAAAAAGGGGAAAGGGAAATATTTCTTAATTTAACAAGAATGGACAGTTTGTGATTATTTCTTTCATTTACAAATAAAGACAAGTAATGAAGCTTGTGTGGTAAACATTCAAGAAATTGTTCCTGTTATTTCACGATCTCTTGCTATTCCATCCTTATCCTTATTAAAAAGATGATGAACCCCAGCTTAATTGATTCAAGGGACAATATTTATTTGAAACCCTAACCACAGAATCCTAAAAAAAAAGATAAAAATAAAAAAAAATGTGCTTTGCAATTTTTACAATTTAGGCAGAATCTGCAAAAAAAAAATTCTTTCCGAAACAGTTGGCGCTCAATAAATTTCTTTATCGTGAATTTTCAATTGATTGATTTCCAATAACTAATCTATTGACGAAAAAAAACCGGTTTTCATGTCAAGGGTTCTCCATGCAATTACTTAGTAAAGCAAATGACTTTATTTTATGATTTTTTTTTTTGTTTCAAGACATTTGAAACCATGATAGAATCGTATAAGGATATTTTTAGGTTGTTTCAAAGCTTTTTTATGGTTCTTCTTCCAATCATTTCAATAATCAAGCCTAATAATAATCGAGCATTATAGAAAAGATAACCCCAAAATTCCGTAAAAAAAAATCATCCTTTACATATGCATATGAACAATGTTTAAGCATCGTGATACTATTGTTTTGCCAAAGGTTCATTGATGACGTTTTGATGTACGTTATGTAATCAAGTATACATTAATTTTTTTTTAAAAAAAAAGAATCCATGTGAAACACATTAAAAAAAAATAACTTTTATTTTTGTCTGTTACACACAGAAATAACCGCAGTCGTTTTAAACATTACAATAAAAAATGAGTTAGCTCTACACACAAAATCACGGAGACGTAAGAGACGCAAGCCAAAAAAGATTCGTATATAAGTAAATTCATGGGATTGATTAATAAATGAATGAACACATAGTTGGAAAAAATGACTTTTTTCGTTGTTTTCTCAGCAATTGAAGCGTTTTACATGAGGAGTGAATCATTTTTATATTTCTTTTTTAGTAGATTGATCATTTTTCATAATAGCTTCAGAAATATATAAAAGCGAGGTGTACAAGAGGTTGTCAAAACACAATTTCAAAAATAAAATCTAAAAAACAAAAAAAAACAAAAAAAAAAAATCTCTCTTAAAACTTTTTTTTAAAAACAAATTCACATCAAAGTAAAAGTTTGAAACTTTTATTCTCACAAAAAAAAAAAAAATAAATTTTAGCTCGATCCAGAATACAGATATCTCAACATGACTACTCCAGCCGTCACAACACCAGATCAATTCATCTCCAGCGATATCTCTTACAGTACGACATTATTGGAATATTTTGATGATATGCCGCAATCATATTTGATATCAAGGTTACATGAACAAGGTCGTGATTTCTTCAACAAAATTGAATCGGCTTATGCTGAACTGGTTGTCAAAGGACTTCCTACTCCTTTTTGGATACACAGGGAATATTTGGAACTACAATCGACTTTTTTTAAGGATCAATTTCAAAAGGTTAAGCAAGGGAGCAAGTTGATAGTTACAGTCCCTTCTCCCGATGACTTCGAACCCTTGTTGGAATATCTGTATACTGGTGATGGCGACAAGTGGTATGACAGCATGAATGAGGATAATTGGTATGATGTCTATACCAATGTAGAATTTCTTGGTCTTGGAATTGAAGCGAGAGCCATCTGTATGGCTTTTTATCAGAATGTTATACTTGGAGATGATCTGGATTAATTCATTCATTACAGCTAATTAAGGCATTTTTATTTTATTTTATTTCGGCAAAAATCATCGTGCATTTCTTTACATTTCATGTTTCCTAGGCAAAATCTGAAACAAAAAAATTTTTCGTTTAAATCTCGTATTTTAATTTAAATCTTCGTTATGATATTTTTTTTTTTTCGCGTTTTAACTTATATTTCATTCGCATGGCATAAATCCGTTTATTTTTCGATGTATCTTCGATTTCTTTTTATTTTTCACGTGTTTTTCATTTATTTCCATATTTCGATTTATCATTGGATTTAAATAAATTTATATTTTCGAAAGTATTTATAAACATAATATAATCCCCCCCGTCTAGTGTGTATAATAAATGATTGATGATTTTGAGTTCACGTGATGATGTTCGACAAGAACATGCCAGAACAGGTGCACGAAAAGTGAAAGTTGTGCGTACATCCTCTTGTCAAACGTTTGAAAATTTGCATTACATCATACAAATTTATTCCTTAATATTCTTTATTCTTTCAGGAATGTACATTACATGAAGTGAGACTGCGCATCTTCTTTAGTATTTTAATATTGCATACATCTTACATTTTACTCCATAATATTATCTTTTCAAGAATGTGTACCAAGTGAGAAAACTGCGCAACTTCTTATCAAATTGCATTACATCGTTACATGTTATTCCCTAATATTCATTTATCTTTCAAGAAATTGAACCAAGTGAGAAATGCATAACTCCTTGTCAAAACATTGAAAATTGCATACATCTTGGCACTTTCTTTAATAAAATTATTATCTTTTAAAGAATGTTAATAATCTTTTCTTTGGTATTGCATGGACTTATAATATCACATTCAATCGTCACAATATGAACGGACGATTGATAATCACTTTGATTAAGAATCTTCATTAACGATTTGACAAACAGTTCGTAATTAATTAAGCCTTTTTTATTTTTATTAGTTTTGTTATTTAGGAATCAAAAAAAAAAAAAAGATTTTCATTGCTTCGTTTACTCAAGGGGGTGTGGTACACATTTTTTAGTTATTTCTTTATTCAACTAGTTTCAACCAACCCTTTGTATCGCGCGAGATTGTGCGTTGATTGGCTGAAGGTTTTAAATTAAATCTCCCAAAAAAAACTGTAAATATAAGTCTCGTGTCCAACTTTTTTTTTAACTAATTAAAGAATTGATTCATTGTTCCTAATCCTATTATTCTACAACCTTTTCTTTCTATGCTCTGGTCGTTTTGTTTGTTTATCCGTTTTTATTTTATAAATTATTATTATTATTTTTATTATATTTTATAAAAAAAAAGAGACAAACAAACAAATAAACGGAAAAAGGGAAAATTCTCATAGGTTTCTTTGTTGGAGAAGCAATTCAAACAATGACCATGTGACTACCTTATAACGACGAAAAAAAAAACCAATTCACGAAAACAATAGGGCTCTTTATACGACATACATGCCTGTTTGTGGCGCAGCGTAATTGTTTGTCAAAAAAAAAAAGTGATGCGACTTGATACAAGGTTAAGGTTGAAAGCATTGTTAATGATAAATAAAGCAAGCTGCCGGGAACCACGAGATCAGGATACAATGGAAGCATGATGATTGTGAACGGGAAGGGAATAAAGTTTTTTTTTTGGGTATCACACGAGAAAAAAAAATAGATAAATTAAAATAAAAAAAAAAACTTTTATTCTCCTCTTTTGGCCCGAATCCGGTACGTTTTTCATTTTGGTATTCTAGTAAACTCGGCGCCGAACTATTAAATAAGTAAATACCATGTACATGTACAATCAGAAAAGTATTAAATATTGATATACAATAGGGTTGAGCTCGATGATTATGTGGCGCAGCAAGCTTAAGGGAAAAAAACTTTCGATTGTTCCTTACATACGCTGTTATGACATCATGGTCCAATCACTACATCAACATCCTTTGATACTATAAATGTGAAAAGTTTAAGACATTGTTAGCCCGGATTTTTTGAGGCAACAATGTGATTTGTAAAAGGAAACCAGTCATTATTCAAAAAAAAACCCCCAAAAAGAAAGAGCGAATTCTCTCTTATTATCGTTTGGAAAAAGAGATTATCTATCCATATTTGAACCAATTCCTACGATTAATAAGATTTAAACTCGATTGTCTCGTGTATTCAATCGCAAACGTGTGTGCGCATTAACGGAATAGGAAATTTTATAGCGAGCGCTATGGCAAAATGTTATGTGGTGTCATTAAATAAAGGTCATGACAAAAAATGTATGGAAAATAGTTTTTATATAATTATGAAGGAATATCAGAACGTTTCAAAAATTCGTAATACATATGGATGTACACATGTATGCACAAAAATGTACTCACGGACACCTTCATTAAGAAAAAGTATCGACCCTCCCCCCAAAAATTGTTTTTATTTCTAATCATTCAATTATCATTTACCGAACGGAAACGGAGTTAAGCGGTTGACCTTCTACCCAGAAAGCTCTGGAATGAACCTATCGAATAGAAATTAGTAAAAGAAATAAAAAATAAATAATTATGTCTTTATGCATAATTATAATAAGGAGGATTGGTTACCATTCGTTGGCGTAAGAACTACATGCCAAAAAAAGAAACAAGAATCTTTGAAAAATGAGCATGCGCCGAAGGAAAACATCAACATGGAAAACACCTTCCATTGTTCCGAATGTTGTCATGAATTATATTTTCAATAAAATTACGGAGTTCTTTGACATAAATGTTATTAAATAATGTAGTTATTCTCCGAACAATATGATATAATATGATTTTATAATCGGAAATATTTTATTCAAAAAAATATTATTGTGGCGATGTTAAATTATTGTTGGTGTCACAGAAAGATCATCAATTATTATTAATAAAAAAAAATTTAAATATAAATACAAGTATAGTTTCTGGATTATTTGACGATTCTTTCTTTTTTTTTTACACTTACAAAACTAAAAACTATATTGAACGAAAAATACATCTTAATTCAAAAAAAAAAAAAGAATTAAAAAACAAAAATGTTGACATATAGCCGTTCAAAGTTACCACACCAAAGGATGCCAACTCTACATCATCATCACCATCATACACCTCTTTTAAATAAGGAATATGACATGATAATTTATGTCGGGGAAGAACCTTCAGTCAAAACTTTTCACGCGCATTCCAATATGCTGATAGATAAATCTCCTTATTTTCTTGCCGCATTGTCAAGCAATTGGATACACAGAGAGAATGGAATGATAGTATATCGCAAACCAAATATTTCTCCAGAGATATTCGAAGTCATTTTAAGGTACGGGACAATATTATCTTTTGACCATTGGGGGGAGGGGTATTTGTATCATAAAACTAACACGCAACCTTTTGTCTTAGCTTTTGTTACACGAACCAGGCAAAATTAAACGATAAAGATGGTAAATTCATAATTGAACTCTTGATATCAGCCGATGAGATGATCTTTACCTCTTTCATCAATTACATTCAAAAAAATTTCACGACTGCGCAATTATCATGGTTACAAGACAATTGTTTGGAAATAACCCAATTCGCGTTTAAATATCCCTCATTTCAAGCATTACAACACGTTTGTTTGGAAACGATATGCGAGAATCCTTCAATATTATTTAAATCGCCACAATTTACTTCTTTTGAATCAGGTATATTGTTGGGTTTACTTCAACGTAATGAATTAAACTTATCCGAGGTGGAATTATGGGACTACATCATCCATTGGGGCATCAGCCAAAATCCTAATATTCCAGTAAATCCTTCGTTATGGAGCCGTAGTGATGTTAAAGCTGTTGAATCTTCTATTAAAGAATATCTTCCTTATATTAGATTTTGTAATATGACTCAAACGGAATTTCAGCGTTACGTGTGGCCATACCGAACTCTCATCCCTTACGATATATATGATTCCATCATGATCAATTTCATGATGCCGTTGTTCAAGTGTAAGCAAATAGTGCGACAGCGAGGTACCGGAGCTCAATCTCGTTTAATCAATTGGGATCATTTGAGATACATTTGTGGATGGTTGAATCGCAGGCTTGAACCTTATTCCGTAGATAAATTACCATATCGATTTGAATTATTAATGAGAAGTAGCAGGGATGGGTTTACTGCTGACTCGTTTCATAGATTGTGTGATAACGTGAAAGGAACCATTATTATAATGAAGGTGGCTGGCACGGATGAATTATTAGGTGGATATAATCCACTCGCTTGGAATGTGGTTGCTAATGGAAGTACAATGGGTAGTTTTATATTTTCTTTTAAAAATGGAAAAATTTTAGAGAAATCTTGCGTCAGTTACATACAACGAGGATGTAAGGGTAATGCGATCTGTAAATTAAATAGTGATGTTGAAGTTATTAATTTTGGTAATGGTGATCTGAGGTTAGATAATAATTTTAATGAATCGTTTTCTTGTAGTGCAAGAAAAAATTCTTATGATATGGGTATAAGGAATGATACATCCAGTTTTAGCGTTGATGAATTTGAGGTTTTCAAGGTTATCAATAGGAATGAGTGAATACATACGGTGCCATAATTATCTATTTATTATTAATTTGTATATAGTTTTTTTTTTTTTATCATTTAACGTTACTAAATTAATTTCTTTAATCAATTTTTTAAAATTCACTTTTAAATAATCTTCACGGGGTGGTTGGTCATTTTAGGATTTTGTTAGGATTAAATCAATTTACATTTTATTACTGTTGCACAAAATATAACATCATCATCAAATAAAAATCATTTATCTAATAAATCTTCATGTATTAGGAAGATCGCAGTTCTACATTTAGGAAATTTAATCTAATATGGAATAATATTTTTCCTTATAATTAATCTATCTATACTTTATATATCATGTCACTTTTTATATCCAATAATTTTTCCAATTGCATTTTAAAATCACGAGATTACACAATATTGATTCAAATCTTGTTGATTAACAATATTTTCTTCTTTCAGATGTTCCCAGAAAACTAACTGTTATTGTACAGCCGAGCCATCCGTGATGAGGGTAACGATTTTCCATTGATATTCATTTTCGGGGAGATGTATAAGCATTGAATGGGTAAAAAGAACGGTTAACTAACCGGTTAAATATTTTCTTTAAAACGTTAATATAAACTCCAGCAGAAATAAAGTTTTCAACCAGAATTATGATTTTTAAGATTACAAAAATTTCAAAAATTTCGTCAACTCTGGCCAAATTTATAGTGCCGACTTAAGCTAAGTTTTAAACCGAAGTTAACTTTAAAATTAACTTTTAATTGACCGGTTATTAACCGGTTAAGATTTATACAAGATTCATATTCCAATGAAGAAAGCATCATTATCCTATCTATAATTACTAGCATAATAAATAATTATGTAGTTCAATTATAGATGGTCTCTAAAAGTTTATGCACAATCTTTAATATCTTTAATATCAATTTTCTTAATGTTTAGCAATTCAATTTGAACAAAACTCTTATATATAATTATAAATAAATCTTATATTAAAAAAATGAGCTAACGGTAAATCACTGGTTGATGAGAAATTTAATTAATAATAATATAAATATTTATAAAAATTTGCAAAAAAAAAAAAAAATATTAGTTTTCACATATGATTGTCTTTATTGAATTTCTCAATATCCAATAATTTGTATTTAGTATATAGCATATCAAAATTTAAGTTATTTGAATCACTAGTTATCAAGAAATTAAATATATGTTATTTGCTATTAAATCAAGTTACAAACATAATAAACCATATGGCCTATAAGTGGTTGATTCATCAAAATAAGCTATCCAAGGATATAAATAATTTATCTTCTATAATTTTTAAAATTATAAAGTTTATTCATAATTTTATAGATTATTAATCTTTATCTATAAATATAAAAGTATCTAAAATTTAAATTTTTTTTAGAAATTTTTATTTTGTTTATTTTAAAATAAATAATTTTAAAAAAGCTTTCTAACTGTTATACTCAAAAAACAATACTTTCATTATAAATAAATTGAAAGAAAAGTTAACTAGTTTAAAAAGTGCTCAACTTCTAAAATATACAAAAAAGATATAAAATCATCATATAGGACAAATTGGGCCTAATTGCAAAATGGTATACGAATTTTTATGGAATTTATATTGTACTCTAAATTACCTTATAAGACTAAAAAACATATCACGAATCTATAATAAATTCATGTTTTAAAACATGCTGGGTGTAAATCCTGTTAACTTATCTCCTTACACATATTTTTTAGCTTTCAAGATAAAGGAGTATACCATCTTTGTTAACGTATTAGCATATTTTTAATCCCAAATTATATAACGAAAAATATATGCTATTCTGTTTCCCCTAAAAATGAGTATAGAACATCGAGGACTGAAATGTTTGAGTATGCTCTATATAAGTTTCTGCAAGCTAATAAATATACCTAAGTTGCATGTTATCATAGAATTAATTCTAAAGCTGATTCATTATCAAATAGTAAAGTCAAAAAGTATAACCAAAAAAAATTCGTATAGCCAAGTCTATCCAAAAAAATCTAACCAAAAATCACATAGCCAAGTTTATCTAAATAAATCTAACCAAAAGTTATTATCTATTCTGAGTTTTTTAAGGCCTTAATATAGGGCAAAAAGGGGGTTCTGAGACAGATTTTAAATAGACCTCCAAACCCCGCCTACGAATCCAATTTGCTATATGATTTCTAATATTAAATTCAAACCTCTAGCGCCT